AAGAGGAAATTGTAGAATTATTATTTACTGGGAAAGATGGGTTGAACTGTGGCTGTCAGAAGGTTGAAATTAATGAGTGTGGGAATAAATACATACACAGTATATATGTTTGAGGTCCTCCAATCAGGGGTGAGGGTGGGGATGTGATTATTGTATGTTTTGTGTTTAGTTATTTATGTTTTCTATTTTGGTTTTATGCTGTGAGAGGTGTGTGTGCTGGTCCTGGTCGTTATTGGTGCTCTCGCTTCCATGCCCGCCCGGGTGTCGGGTGAGGCTTGGTCCTTCCCGTCCTTGGAAAATGCCTTTGGGCCGGGGGGCGGGGGCTTTGCCCTGCAGGCATCTCGGGGTGGGTTGGGGGCAAGTGCACCCACTGACCAGAGAACCCACTGATGGGAGCAACCATTCGTATTGTCTTTGTATTGTATTGAGTTGTTGTTGTTTTAATAAAAATAAACATCACTGGGAGCTTTCCTCCCATCTTGATTAATTTGTATTGTTAATAAGTTTGAAAAGCTATCTCAGCAGACTTTAATTTCTTTAATCCTCTTTGGGAACAAACTATTTAAAAAAAAGCTGAGATTCCTTCCCCATTCTGTTTGTATTATTAACTCTAATTTCCATAATGGCACTTTCTGCTCAAATCCAAATTACATTTTTAATTAAGTCAGGGTTTCCCAAAGTCGGTCCTGGGGCCCCCCCTTGGTGCACGTATTGGTTTTTGCCCTAGCACTACACAGCTGATTCAAATAACCAACTCATCATCAAGCTTTGATTATTTGAATTCAGCTGTGTAGTCCTAGGGCAAAAACCAAAACGTGCACCCAGGGGGGCCCCAGGACCGACCCTGAATTAAGTCACTCTTGCCCATTACTTTAATCACCATATCATAGACAATGGTGGAATAATGATATGTAATTAAACCATAGTTCCCCAATGGAGTATGCAATTAAGAAATTAGTTGACACAGGGTACCCGGAATGGATACTGATATTACATTCTACACCATTCAGAGTATATGAGATATAATAGCTGGCTTTTTAATAACACATTTTCATTATTGTTCTCTAATTACAGATATTTCAATAACAACACACCTCTCTATTTCATGATAAAATCTCTCTAGCAATACTGTTGCATATGTTCCTTATCGATTTTTGACTTAGATCAAACAAAATGTTCAACACATTGACGTCCGTAGGCTACCCGGAGAGCTTATCAGCGTCATAAAATGTGATGATTGATTCTTCATCAGTAATAAATGCAAATATTTGTTCATAATCTTTAGTATTCTTGCCACTACCACAGAGAGGCACTCCTGGATATGTATAGTGGGTAAAAGGAGATGTGGATTGCTGTCTTAATCCTAAACTGTTGTTGACTGTAATTCAAGTAATATTGGTCCCAAGGAAGTTGAAGTGACAGATAAATTATAACCTGATGATGTTGCTGGACTTCTTGATGCTGAAATGCATGCTTGAACTAAATGTCTTCATGATATGTGGGCCCTTGAAATATTTTTACTGAACCATATAGGATACTGTCAGAGTACAAAACAGTTATTCTATTCATTCCCTCTGTATTCTCAAAGGTAATCGTTATTACTTTAAGTTGTATGGATTTTTGCAGACAATGGCTTTGGACCATTGTGAATGTGTTCTCCTTGTGCTGGGCAGTACGAACAAATGGGAATGGTGGGTCGTTTGCCCTCCAGTGGAATATTGATTCTATGTGTTGTGTGGGGGGGAGACCAAATACTGTGACTGCTCCTCCTCGCTCCACAGACAGCTGTAGTCCCATGGACAGGATCTTTGGGCTGCTGGGAGAAGAGACATACAGTGGGGGAAAAAAGTATTTAGTCAGCCACCAATTGTGCAAGTTCTCCCACTTAAAAAGATGAGAGAGGCCTGTAATTTTCATCATAGGTACACGTCAACTATGACAGACAAATTGAGATTTTTTTTCTCCAGAAAATCACATTGTAGGATTTTTAATGAATTTATTTGCAAATTATGGTGGAAAATAAGTATTTGGTCACTTACAAACAAGCAAGATTTCTGGCTCTCACAGACCTGTAACTTCTTCTTTAAGAGGCTCCTCTGTCCTCCACTCGTTACCTGTATTAATGGCACCTGTTTGAACTTGTTATCAGTATAAAAGACACCTGTCCACAACCTCAAACAGTCACACTCCAAACTCCACTATGGCCAAGACCAAAGAGCTGTCAAAGGACACCAGAAACAAAATTGTAGACCTGCACCAGGCTGGGAAGACTGAATCTGCAAAAGGTAAGCAGCTTGGTTTGAAGAAATCAACTGTGGGAGCAATTATTAGGAAATGGAAGACATACAAGACCACTGATAATCTCCCTCGATCTGGGGCTCCACGCAAGATCTCACCCCGTGGGGTCAAAATGATCACAAGAACGGTGAGCAAAAATCCCAAAACCACACGGGGGGACCTAGTGAATGACCTGCAGAGAGCTGGGACCAAAGTAACAAAGCCTACCATCAGTAACACACTACGCCGCCAGGGACTCAAATCCTGCAGTGCCAGACGTGTCCCCCTGCTTAAGCCAGTACATGTCCAGGCCCATCTGAAGTTTGCTAGAGTGCATTTGGATGATCCAGAAGAGGATTGGGAGAATGTCATATGGTCAGATGAAACCAAAATAGAACTTTTTGGTAAAAACTCAACTCGTCGTGTTTGGAGGACAAAGAATGCTGAGTTGCATCCAAATAACACCATACCTACTGTGAAGCATGGGGGTGGAAACATCATGCTTTGGGGCTGTTTTTCTGCAAAGGGACCAGGACGACTGATCCGTGTAAAGGAAAGAATGAATGGGGCCATGTATCGTGAGATTTTGAGTGAAAACCTCCTTCCATCAGCAAGGGCATTGAAGATGAAACGTGGCTGGGTCTTTCAGCATGACAATGATCCCAAACACACCGTCCGGGAAACGAAGGAGTGGCTTCGTAAGAAGCATTTCAAGGTCCTGGAGTGGCCTAGCCAGTCTCCAGATCTCAACCCCATAGAAAATCTTTGGAGGGAGTTGAAAGTCTGTGTTGCCCAGCGTCAGCCCCAAAACATCACTGCTCTAGAGGAGATCTGCATGGAGGAATGGGCCAAAATACCAGCAACAGTGTGTGAAAACCTTGTGAAGACTTACAGAAAACGTTTGACCTGTGTCATTGCCAACAAAGGGTATATAACAAAGTATTGAGAAACTTTTGTTATTGACCAAATACTTATTTTCCACCATAATTTGCAAATAAATTCATTAAAAATCCTTTCTGGAATTTTTTTTCTCATTTTGTCTGTCATAGTTGACGTGTACCTATGATGAAAATTACAGGCCTCTCTCATCTTTTTAAGTGGGAGAACTTGCACAATTGGTGGCAGAGTTGTGTTGTTGAGAAAGTAGCCATTAATAAAGACCTACGCATATAGTTGCAATGTTAAAATAATTGTTTTGTTGTCTGCCTTGTAGTTCTAAGATTTGATAACTCCATTGCTTCATGCCTGCACCTTTGAGAGACTGATGTCTAACATTCTAGATATAAACTAGAAAATAGTAGGCCTATGCAGAAAGGAACAACTAAAATGTGAAAATGTAATTGTTGTAAAAGGCTGCTCTGCCACAAGCTGGGCGTCCCAGGCTCAGCCGACAGTCCCCTTGGTTGTGAGTCCGTAGGGACTCTTCCTGAAGGCTTACATAATGTTGGCACCGGCCTCAGAGATCTAAAGCACGGCCCCAATCATTCCTCCTGTTACGTTTAGGTCAAACATATCATTGACCAGGCAGCAGGAACATCTATATCTCTTCATCTCTCTCCACTCCCCACGTCCCCTGTTGCATAACGTTGCCAGGGATGTGAGACAGCGTTTCCATGGCGTTGACGCTTGTTCAAGGGGAACATCGTGTGTAGGACCTGTTTGTCACTCAGTCTAATGTCATAGAACACAGTGAAGGCTGCTGAGGGGAGGACAGCTCATAATAATGGCTGGAACGGAGCGAATGGAATGGCATCAAACAAATGGAAACCATGTGTTAGATGTATTTGATACCATTACACATATTCTGCTCCAGCCATCCCCATGAGCCCGTTCTCCCCAATTAAGGTGCCACCAACCTCCTGTGATAGAACATAGATGAAGACATGCAGTACCTGTAAGGAAAACCGCTGACTTTCTTTCAATGGTACTCACTTTTAGCCCATGTGTTGTTCATAAAAACAGATCATTTTTATTATGTTAATGAGACAAAGCAGGCTACACCAGAAAAAAGGCTTGTTTTATAACAACTGCACTCTTACATACATTTTTACAGTCATGGACTCTCTTTTTATAACACCACACAAATCTATATATTCAATGGCTTTTTTAGGCTTTTCTTTAAAAAGGTTCTGATATTGGATATGATTTATTCTGTCTGAGACTACATTGTGCTAGCTCCTCTCTCCTTTCTGATCTGACCTTTGACACCTGACCTTCTGAGGGGAGTGGAATTCATAACAAAGATTACAATTCCTAAAGGAGGTACTCATAGTACATCAATCTAGGGTCTGCTCTTGAAGAACATGCTTTTCTCATCTCCAAAGTACTACGTTTCATAGATAGTTTTGTCACATACAAAACAAAAAAGTCATTATATACATCCTCTATCCCATATTGCAACCACAGGTCCTTTTCCCATGATGATGGCAAGCGTCACAATGATTTCATGTTTGGCCAAGATGTTGACCACCAGTGCAGTTGAAGCATCCAGGTTTTCTTCATTTTAAATTCACTCTAGTCATGCAGTACCAAAAAATGATATTGGATTAAACTTAGAAATCCTTTTTAACAGTTGGTCGGTTCAGCAACAAAGTCTCAGCGTATTTGAGAGAGTTCTTTGAAGCGTGGTGGTCCATCAGGGGATTTTTTTCTAACTGTTGAAGCTTATTCCTGTTGTGTAGCATCAGTTAGACAAACAGCATCTTGTTAACCAGTCCATGGTGATGGCGATGTGTGCAGTTAACTCTGATTCACTGATGGAGCATAGCAGGGACCGGAAGGAGGAGAGTGAGAGGGGGGCAGTGGGTCTGAGAGGTTGGGGGGTTGGGGGGTACAGGGCAGGCTGGGTTGGAGTGGGTACATGTCTTCATACCGGCCGGTCCACTGCATACTGGCAAGGGCTTAGGTTGGACACTGTGTTTTGCACGGCTGGGTAGGCGAAGTTGGCGTGCTGCTTGGCCTTCAGTCGGAGGCTGGCCAGGCTGGAGTTGCAGGTGTCTCTGTACATGTAAGGACTTGCGGTGGTGGCGTAGGGGCAGGTGGCGGCGGTGACCGCAACTGAGTTCAGCGTGGAGCTGTTGAGGTTGCCCAGGTTGCCCAGGTTGTTGAGTCCCGAGCCCGGCACCCCGGCCACCGCCGAGGGCACCATAGAGGAGGCCATGTTCATGGAGGGGATAGAGCTGGGGGAGGAGAACATGGGCTGGGAGGACAAGGGGCTTACATTCATGGAGTTGAAGAAGGGGAAGCTCTTGGCTGACAGTGGGCTACTGGCCAGACTCTTGGTGGCCCAGTTGTTGTATGAGTAGCCAGAGTACATGTCATCGTAGGGCTGCATGAGTCCATTGAACTGGGCACCGAAGCCGTTTTTACACAGCTCAGCTTGCTGGTTCCTCTCCCTCTTCCTCCATTTGGCACGGCGGTTCTTAAACCATACCTGAGGGAGAAGGACAGAAAAGGGAAAAAAGGAAAATAAATATGGTATTTTCTTTTCAACATAGTCTGAGGTGGTAAAAATAGTTCTGAAACACAATAACATTTTGGTATGCAATGACTGAGACTATGATTCCTTTCAAATAGTTTAAGCAAGATTCTGTATACAGTAGCTGCAGACTTTTTAAAATAAAGAATAATCCAGAAAACTAAGTTGAAGTGTATAATCAAACAGTCATATTAGCCATGGTTTATTAAAACAAATTATTCACTTATTTGAATTATGCGCTCCCAGTGAAAGAAATGTCAAGCTGGAGCGGTCTTCACATTTTGTCATTTTAAGGTCCTATTTTTGGAGGGTATAAAACGGATTAAAGTTTTAATGGCAAATCTAAAATGAAGGTACTTAATTCAGTTCCCAATTGGGGAAATATGAATTTCTCCCTGAGCGTTCATTTTGTGGTGGAACTTTCTCTTTATCTCATAAAGACTTCAAAACTCCTCATTGAGAAGCAAAATACCTCTATTATAGGAATCCAATACAAAAATAATATAAATGGACTGTCATGTACAGTTAAAAATCTAATTGTATTAATCAAAGGAATATTATTCACATTTGAGTTATTCTAATCAAATAAAATAATTAAAGCCACCAACACTTCTGTGGCTAAATCATCTCCCTCCCTCTCTTCCTCATCTAATACTGCTGTGCCAGGCAAAGTATCTCATCCAAACCCTCAGTCTGTGTCTGCCAGCCGGCAGCCCAGGCATCTGTTGTGATAGTAATAGAATGCTCTGGACTATTAAACGTGTGGGTACAGTGTACATAGCAGTGAATTTTCCATGGTACCCATTGACAGTAGGGGAAACCCCACTGTTGAGGAAGATTTCTCTCGCCTTTTAACACGACTCTGGGGCGATGTTGTTTAGGTGTTCATGGAAAAATCTGAATGTCAAATGGTAGTTGGATGGGGGGTTTGTGGCAAACCTTACCTCACTTTCCTAAAACTGTCAAATGACTGACACAATCAGACACTCGCTGTGACCTAAGTACCCACGTCCATTGCTTACGACTCTCCTAAAATCTATTTTTCAGAATTCAGATAAGCTCTGACATATTTCATATTATACCTTTCATTTTATAATACTGTATTGGTTTAATTTAGTCTGAGCTGTATTGATATTATTAGAATCCAGTCTCATTGGACTCAGGACTCTCTGTACTGTAAATATACATATGCAATAGCAATTTCAGTTTTATTAAGAACATTATATGCAGCTATGTACTGTACATACACATTTGAAGGCAAGGAAGTAGCCAGCATGGATATAGAGGTGGTTTGTTATTCAAACATTTATTACAAACGCATTCGGTGTTAAATGCCATAAATCAAGATGACAGGAGAAGTATTCTGTATATGCAGGGGGAATCTGCGTCCATGTGGGATTAGCAGGGAACAAGTGGGGTCCTGCTAGACATTAGGACGTGTGTGGTCTGTTGTTCTTTCAAAATAACAACCAAGACTGTGTGCTATGTGACCTTTAATCTAGCCAACATGAATTGGATCCATTACTAGGCAGGCAGGCAACGATTGTATTGTCATCCATCAAAATGTGAGCCTACCTGCTCCATACTGGGGGTGACCAAACCTCTGGGCTTGAGGGGACATTTCAGGGTCAGGAGCAGATCAACACACTTCTGACCTTTGTGACATGTGAAGCCTAGTTTTAGGTTGTTGAAGTCAAATGGCAACATTTTAAAATCCCTGCTCAGTTAGGTACATTTGTCATCTTTTAGATTTGTACCTTCAGGTGCCTTTTTACCTTCAGAATTATGTTGAAATTATATGTTTGAGTCCCACAAATGTATTGTTGAATAACAGCTAAACCGTAAGGAAAGTGGGTTTGGATTATTCCACTGGCTCAGTATTGGCTCAATAGTGATTCTGTGGGGACTCACCCTAACTCGCGCCTCTGTGAGGTTGGTCCACACGGCGATCTCCTCCCGTGTGCTCATGTCAGGGTAGCGGTTCCTCTGAAAGGTGGCCTCCAGCTCCTGGAGCTGCTGGCTGGTGAAGTGGGTTCTCTGCCTGCGCTGCTTCTTCTTCAGAGAGCCATCCTCTGCATTGGACTCATCTGTCTGGTTCTGGTGGGACTTCTCTGTGTCTGGGAGGCAATAACAGGGATGAGTAGTTATAATCAGAACAAAAAGCCCAAAACATAGCAAATCCTCCTTTTGTATAGCATCATAACTATCTATATTTCTTTACAATACTTCCAGACTTGCTCAAACATGTTTTAGAAAAATTGCATATTTCCATTCCCATCCAATATCAAGTATTTTGCACAAGAGCAGCAATCATCTCTACAGAGTGAAGTGTCTTCCCATTGAAAAGTTATCACACTTTCCAAAGCATATTGGCAATAGTCTGTGACTAATTTAAAATGTCATGTTACCAGGTGACCTATTTTATTTTCAATTAATTAATATAATGGACATGCTTTTTGAAAAATTATGTATTTACATATTTTCAAATAATATGGCAAATTGTTTACAGTTTACACCAACTGTATTAGATTTGTGCAGTTCTGTTTGGAATATTTCAAGATTCGTTGACTGTATGTATCCTCTTCTCAGAGTTGTCAAAAACGGATCAATAATTAAAATTGGCCCTGAAAGCCATCTGGCACTTACACCAGAACCAAACAGACTTGTTTTGTCTGCCCAAGATCCTTTCTCTCTTTATCTGAGTTCCGCAATTTGAGGACCCCACAGAAAGAGTGAAATTAGTTGGCTACCTAATCCCAGGGATAAGGCTTTTGTGACTGGGAAGGTTTCGGACTGTTTGGCAAGGGTTTATCTCTCTGGGAGCAGTAAGAAATAATCAGCAGGGTTTAAAAGACTCTACAGTGCCACTGGCAAAACCAATAGGACCAGGCTTTTGCTGCTATCTACCAGTAAACTGACACTGGTTTAGCCATCACTTAGGCCAAAACCCCTTTTTCATCCCATGGCACAATCCAGGAGAGAGGGCAGACCTCAAAAACCTACAATAAAGGAATCTCACTGATGGGAGTAAATCAAGTCAATTTATTGAGCTTTTTTCTGATTACGTTGTACTTGATCTCCAAATAGAATACATCTTTGAACATTGTAACTTTACTCACTGACATAATGCAAATTCAATGAATCTGAATAGCTGTTTTGTTTTTCATGTGTAATACATTGCCGAGGGTATACTTAAGCAATAAGGCCCGAGGGGGTGTGGTATATGGCCAATATACCACGGCTAAGGACTGTTCTTATTCACGACACAACACAGAGTGCCTGGATACAGCCCTTAGCCGTGGTATATTTGTCACGACTTCCACCGAGGCTGCCTCCCCTCCTTGTTCGGGCAGGCTTCTGCGTTCATCGTCACCGGCTTACTAACCACTGCCGCCCCAATTATCATCATCACATTTGTCTTGTCTTGTCAATCACACACACCTGGTTCTAATCTCCTCATTAGTCCGTGTATAAGTGTTCCCTCTGCCCCCCTGTCCTTGTGGGTGATTGTTTGTATGTGAGAGTAGTGTAGCTCGGTGGAGCTACTCGTAACATTTTGTTGCCAGGGTAGATATTTCCCCTGTGCCTGTTTCGTTTGTCGCTATTCCAGCTTACTTTGTGTAACGAAGGAATAAACTCTGTATTTGGTGATTACCCTCCTGCGCCTGACTCCTTCCATCACACTCATCACAATATTGACCATATACCATAAACCCAGAGGTGCCTTATTGCTATTAAAAACTGGTTACCAAAATAATTAGAGCAGTAAAAATACATGTTTTGTCACACCCGTGATGGTATACGGTCTGATATACCACGGCTGTCAACCAATAATCATTCAGGGCTCGAACCACCCAGTTTATAAAAATGTTTTGGCTACACTATACACACCTATAGCACATGGGCTAATATTGATGGTGGTGTACAAATGTATAGTAGAAGGCATATATACAGTACCAGTCAAAAGTTTGGACACACCTACTCATTCAAGGTGGGATGGCGTATCGCTGCAGAATGCGGTGGTAGCCATGCTGGTTAAGTGTGCCTTGAATTCTAAGTAAATCACAGACAGTGTCACCAGCAAAGCACCCCCACACCATAACACCTCCTCCTCCATGCTTTACGGTGGGAACTACACATGCGGAGATCATCCGTTCACCCACACCGCGTCTCACAAAGACACAGCGGTTGGAACCAAAAATCTCAAATTTGGACTCCAGACCAAAGGACACATGATTCACACAGTCCCCTCTGAACAGTTGATGTTGATTTTTTACCAGCAACAGTGTGTGAAAACCTTGTGAAGACTTACAGAAAACGTTTGACCTGTGTCATTGCCAACAAAGGGTATATAACAAAGTATTGAGAAACTTTTGTTATTGACCAAATACTTATTTTCCACCATAATTTGCAAATAAATTCATTAAAGATCATACAATGTGATTTTCTGGAGAAAAAAAAATCTAATTTTGTCTGTCATAGTTGACGTGTACCTATGATGAAAATTGCAGGCCTCTCTCATCTTTTTAAGTGGGAGAACTTGCACAATTGGTGGCTGACTAAATACTTTTTTTCCCCACTGTACACACACACACACACACACACACACACACGTATATTATAGGCTATAGCCTCTCTTGGCTTTGCATTATGCACTAAGGCCCCAGCAATCTGAGGCATATTCTAATCACTAGGAGTGTCCTTGAGAATTTGCTTTGCCAGGTCGCAGTTGTAAATGAGAACTTGTTCTCAACTGGCTTACCTGGTTAAATAAAGGTGAAATAAATAAAAATAAATAAACTATAATTTTGTGAAAGAAATGATAAATTCCCAGCTACATAATCAAAACTGGTCTGAATAAAATATGCCTACTGTAACCAAGCCTCTGGATCTATACTGTACATTTACACCTATACAGTTAGTGTTTGTCATTTATAGAAGTTTCACTCATTTTGAAACTTCAGATGCCAATTGAGTGTGCCATTTGTCATTTAATAAGAACTAATTTAATTAAAATCGTCAGTATGTATTACATTTCTGCATTTAGTGGATACACAGGTTAGGGTTCTCATAATAAGTATCCAGAAGGATATACAGTGGGGAGAACAAGTATTTGATACACTGCCGATTTTGCAGGTTTTCCTACTTACAAAGCATGTAGAGGTCTGTCATTTTTATCATAGGTGCACTTCAACTGTGAGAGACGGAATCTAAAACAAAAATCCAGAAAATCACATTGTATGATTTTTAAGTAATTAATTTGCATTTTATTGCATGACATAAGTATTTGATACATCAGAAAAGCAGAACTTAATATTTGGTACAGAAACCTTTGTTTGCAATTACAGAGATCATACGTTTCCTGTAGGTCTTGACCAGGTTTGCACGCACTGCAGCAGGGATTTTGGCCCAATCCTCCATACAGACCTTCTCCAGATCCTTCAGGTTTCGGGGCTGTCGCTGGGCAATACGGACTTTCTGCTCCCTCCAAAGATGTTCTATTGGGTTCAGGTCTGGAGACTGGCTCGGCCACTCTAGGACCTTGAGATGCTTCTTACTGAGCCACTCCTTAGTTGCCCTGGCTGTGTGTTTCGGGTCGTTGTCATGCTGGAAGACCCAGCCACGACCCATCTTCAATGCTCTTACTGAGGGAAGGAGGTTGTTGGCCAAGATCTCACGATACATGGCCCCATCCATCCTCCCCTCAATACGGTGCAGTCGTCCTGTCCCCTTTGCAGAAAAGCATCCCCAAAGAATGATGTTTCCACCTCCATGCTTCACGGTTGGGATGGTGTTCTTGGGGTTGTACTCATCCTTCTTCTTCCTCCAAACACGGCGAGTGGAGTTTAGACCAAAAAGCTCTATTTTTGTCTCATCAGACCACATGACCTTCTCCCATTCCTCCTCTGGATCATCCAGATGGTCATTGGCAAACTTCAGACGGGCCTGGACATGCGCTGGCTTGAGCAGGGGGACCTTGCGTGCGCTGCAGGATTTTAATCCATGACGGCGTAGTGTGTTACTAATGGTTTTCTTTGAGACTGTGGTCCCAGCTCTCTTCAGGTCATTGACCAGGTCCTGCCGTGTAGTTCTGGGCTGATCCCTCACCTTCCTCATGATCATTGATGTCCCACGAGGTGAGATCTTACATGTAGCCCCAGACCGAGGGTGATTGACCGTCATCTTGAACTTGTTCCATTTTCTAATAATTGCGCCAACAGTTGTTGCCTTCTCACCAAGCTGCTTGCCTATTGTCCTGTAGCCCATCCCAGCCTTGTGCAGGTCTACAATTTTATCCCTGATGTCCTTACACAGCTCTCTGGTCTTGGCCATTGTGGAGAGGTTGGAGTCTGTTTGATTGAGTGTGTGGACAGGTGTCTTTTATACAGGTAACAAGTTCAAACAGGTGCAGTTAATACAGGTAATGAGTGGAGAACAGGAGGGCTTCTTAAAGAAAAACTAACAGGTCTGTGAGAGCCGGAATTCTTACTGGTTGGTAGGTGATCAAATACTTATGTCATGCAATAAAATGCAAATTAATTACTTAAAAATCATACAATGTGATTTTCTGGAGTTTTGTTTTAGATTCCATCTCTCACAGTTGAAGTGTACCTATGGGAAAAATTACAGACCTCTACATGCTTTGTAAGTAGGAAAACCTACAAAATCGGCAGTGTATCAAATACTTGTTCTCCCCACTGTACATGGTTATTTGTTCAGTGTAGGCCTATATTTTTTTGTAATAAACTGGATCCCCATGATGGTGGACACCTGGGCCTCACCTCTGAAATATTATAGTGCCTTCAGAAAGTATTCACACCCATTTACATTTTTACATTTACGTCATTTAGCAGACGCTCTTATCCAGAGCGACTAACACCCCTTGACTGTTTCCACATTTTGTTGTGTTACAAAGTGGGATTAAAATGGATTTCATTGTCATTTTTTGGTCAACGATCTATACAAAATACTCTGTAATGTCAAAATGGAAGAACAATTCTAACATTTGGAAAAAATGAATGAAAAATGTAACCCTAATATATCTTGATTAGATAAGTAATCAACCCCCTGAGTCAATACATGTTAGCATCACCTTTGGCAGAGATTACAGCTTTGAGTCTTTCTGCGTAAGCTTCTAAGAGCTTTCCGCACCTGGATTGTGCAACATTTGCTCATTATTACTTTTCAAAATTCTTCAAGCTCTGTCAAATTGGTTGTTGATCATTGCTAGCCATTTTCAAGTCTTGACATAGATTTTCAAGCTGATTTAAGTCAAAACTGTAACTAGGCCACTCAGGAACATTCAATGTTATCTTGGTAAGCAACTCCAGTGTATATTTGGCCTTGTGTTTTAGGTTATTGTCCTGCTGAAAGGTGAATTTGTCTACCAGTGTCTGTTGGAAAGCAGACTGAACCAGGTTTTCCTCTAGGACTTTGCCTGTTCTTAGCTCTATTCCATTTATTTTTATCCTAAAAAACTCCCTAGTCCTTGCCGATGAAAAGCATACCCATAACATAATGCAGCCACCACTATTCTTGAAAATGGAGAGTGGTACTCAGTGATGTGTTGTGTTGGATTTGCCCCAAACATAACACTTTGTATTCAGGACAAAAAAAGTGAATTGCTTTGTCAATTTTTTTTGCAGTATTACTTTAGTGCCTTGTTGCAAACAGGATGGATGTTTAGAAATGTTTTATTCTGTACAGGCTTCATTCTTTTCACTCTGTCAATTAGGTTAGTATTGTGGAGTAATTGAATGTGTCGAGTACAGAGATGAGGTAGTCATTCAAAAATCATGTTAAACACTATTGCACAAAGAGTCCATACAACTTATGTGACTTGTTAAGCACATTTTTACTCCTGAACATATTTAGGCTTGCCATAACAAAGGGGTTGAATACTTATTGACTCAAGACATTTAAGCTTTTGATATTTTATTAATTTGTAAACATTTCTAAAAACATAATTCCACTTGGACATTATGGGGTATTGTGTTTAGATCAGTGACACAAAATCTAAATGTAATCAATTTTCAATTCAGACTGTAACACAACAACAACAAAAAACGTTCACCAAAAAATAATTATGTCAAGGGGTTTGAATACTTTCTGTAGGCACTGTAATATTTCAGAGCGACTTACAGTTAGTGAGTGCATACATTTTTTTAATTTTTATACTGGAATTGAACCCACAACCCTGGCGTTGCAAATGCCATGCTCTACCAACTGAGCTACATCCCATATATCATAAATAAGCGTGTATATCCTTCTGGATACATATTATGAGAACCCTAACCTTAAATGGACATTGAAAAACAAACTAATTGTTTGACTTTAACTATGCCAATATCACAAGAAAGAACAATGAATGAACTGATGGTTTATTTTTCTATATCTAAAAACTTTTCTAGAATGAATATTCCATTGTCAGTGAACAATACAAGTAAGCTACATTGGACATATTGCCTCTTGATATTTGGCTCCCACACACCTCGTTATCTTGATGGTTATAGTGCCTAATCCGTGGTTCACATACAGTATATGCGGGTTCTCCTAAATCCCTGCACTCACTCAGGGCCGTCCATTTCGGAGTAAGTTTACATTAGTCACACTAATGGAGTCTGTTGCAGACGCTGGATCCACAGAGATTTCATCTATTAGACCGCACGGGTATCACAAATATTAGCCTTTTCTCTCTGTCAAAGGCCTAATTTGTTATAAATTGTCATGCAGACGGTTGAAATACAGAGGCAGATATTTAGCTTTCAAGCCTGAGCAATCGTAGTTCCTCGGGATATTATTGTATGTCTAGGCCTATGACATTAGGCTATATTCAGTTCATTACGCACAGGTGTGTTTTAGATTATTTTCTAGGTTTCAATTGAGAGTTATTAATAGACCTACAGCACATCAGCGTGCAAAGACACGCACATGACAAAATGCCAAAAAGCTCCGCCAAAGCGCAAGGGGTCCATGCCAGATGTTTACAGTAGCTTCCATTAAAGTCTATAGTTGCTGCAGTTAATAACACTTGCTTTGTAAAAGCCAAGCGAGAAGAATAAACTTGCAACTTGAGTTCATGAAGGAAAAGAACAATTATCTAATGTGAATAATAGGAATATGCGCTATAGGTCTACAAAATATTAGCAAGCCAATTCATATTATGGTTGAATTGATATCCACACAATTACGCACATTAAAGGCGACAATGAATACCCTAATAGCTATTGCAAGCTACATAAACAATTTTAGAAATTCGTCCTGATATTATAATAATAATTATTATTATAGCCTATTAGGCCATTATAATTCCTATTATTATTATCAAATTATTCGATTGGTTTAGACCCGCATGCATTAACATATATGCCTATTCTTCATCCAAAATGTCAGTCTGAGGACATTTAGTCAGTCATACACTCCTGTAGACAAAGCATTTGCATGGTAAACGTGGAAACTGACCGCTGTTGTCTTGGCCTTTGCATCCCTGATCATGTTGAGGGGTCCCAGAGTCCGAAAGCGATAGCGCTGGGCTACGGGCTTCACTGTCTGTCAGAAGGTTAAAATCCATAACCCCGGCCGCCAGGCTCTGCAAAAGGAAGGCAATACATTTCAATATTAGTCAATATGGCAAAATAATACAAGCATCCTCATATAAGTTTAGACGTCCAACCGAATTGGCATGACAAAAAAATAACAACAATAAAAAACAATATCAGAAAGAACAACTAATGACAACAATAGTTATGTTAATAATAATAATCCTGGATATGTAATATAAGAGATTGCAGTTCTTACATTTGCATATCAACACAAATTAAAGAGGGAATCTGCTGTCTATGTATATATCACAATTCTCTTTGCTTTTTAAAATCTGACAAACTGCTAGTGCTAATCATTGGCTATAGGCCTACTCAGCAGGTTTTAGAATATTCTCATATTTTGATAACATTCCGGTTGTTGATGGACTTTATCGAATTAAGGACATGAAACGGTCCATCTGTGAAATACCTATTTGATCAAATATAGGCCTGTATTCCGTGTTAATTACTACGAATGTGTTCTGTTAGTTCTATTTTTGTTCCTTTGCAGTTATATAGTTGTAAAATATATGGTGACCGTTCAGACCTAAATAGCAACCTCGTGAGGGAGACATACGTAATGGAGCCTAAAATAACAGGTAGTTTATTTATACAAGCGCAGTTAACACCTTGAAGATATGGGGACACAATCACTCCCTCAAAGCTTCTTGAGATTTATGATCTCGTGGCTGGGTTTAACGACGGGGATATGTTCCAATCCACTTAGCCGCCTCTCAACTCCTTTATGGGCGCTCCCAAAATGGGAGCTGCACCTAACGTGCATGGTCACATGGGCAGAATACAAAATGTGTAGACTTTACCGTGAAATGTTTACTTAGGAGCCCTTTCCCAACAATGCAGAGTTAAAAAGTAAGAACAATGAACAAAATATAAAAAGGAAATAGTAACACAATACAATTACAATAACGAGACTATCTATGGACAAGGAGTACCGGTACCTAGTAAATGTGCAGGGGTACGAGGTAGTTGAGGTAATTGAGGTAGTTGAGGTAATTGAGGTAATAAGTACATGTAGGTAGGGGTAAAAGTGTCTAGGCAATCAGGATAGCTAATAAACAGAGTAGCAGCAGCATATGTGAAGAGTGTGTGTGTGTGTGTGTGTGTATGTGTGTGTGTGTGTGTGTGAGAGAGAGTGTGTGTGTGGCAACAATATGCATGTGTGTGTGTTTTGTGTGTGTGAGCATATATAGTGTGTGTGTGTGTTTATGTGTGTGTGTGTGTGTGTGTTGGAGTGTTTGTTTGTGTGTGTGTGTGTGTGTGTGTGTGTGTGTGTGTGTGTGTGTGTGTGTGTGAGCGTGTCAGTGTAGTATGTGTGAGTGTGTGGGTAGAGTCCAGTGAGTGTGCAAGAGCCAGTGCAAGAGAGTCAGTGCATAAAAAAGGGGGTCAATGCAAATAGTCCAGGTAGCCATTTGATTAACTATTCAGCTGTTTTATGGCTTGGGGTTAGAAGCTGTTCAGGAGCCTTTTGGTCCCAGACTTGGTGCTCCAGTACCGCTTGCCATGCGGTGGCAACAGTCTATGACTTGGGTGGCTGGAGTCTTTTACAATTTTTAGGGCCTTTCTCTGACACCGCCTGGTATAGAGGTCCTGTATGGCAGGGAGCTCGGCCCGAGTGATATAATGGACCGTATGCACTACCCTCTGTAGCGCCTTACGGTCAGATGACAGGCAGTTGCCATACCAAGTGGTGATGCAACCAGTCAAGAAACTCTCAATGGTGCAGCTGTTGAGGGCCCATGCCAAATCTTTTCAGCGCATCGGTTTGAGTGTGTCAAGAACTGCAACGCTGCTGGGTTTTTCACGCTCAACAGTTTCCTGTGTGTATCAAGAATGGTTCACCACCCAAAGGACATCCAGCCAACTTGACACAACTGTGGGAAGCATTGGAGTCAACATGGGCCAGCATCCCTGTGGAGCACTTTCAACACCTTGTAGAGTCCACACCCCGACGAATTGAGGTTGTTCTGAGGGCAAAAGGGGGTGCAACTCAATATTATGAATGTATTCCTAATGTTTTGTACACTGTGTATCATATACAAAGAGTGTATATACACTCAGTTTATATGTATATACATGCTCAAAGAGATATTCAATGTCTACTTTACCCATCTACCAATAGGTGCCCTTCTTTGCGAGGTATTGGAAAACCTCCCTGGTCTTTGTGGTTGAATCTGGGTTTGAAATTCACTGCTCGACTGAGGGACCTTACAGATAATTGTATGTGTGGGGTACTGTGATGAGGTAGTTATTCAAAAATCATGTTAAACACTATTATTGCACACTGAGTGAGTCCATGCACCGCATTATGTGACTTGTTAAGCACATTTTTACTACTGAACTTATATAGCCTTGCCATAAAAATTAAATACAGAGGGGTTGGGTTAAATGCAGAAGACACATTTCAGTTGAATGCATTCAGTTGTACAACTGACTAGGTATCCCCCTTTCCCTATAACAAAGGGATTGAATACTTATTGACTCAAAACATTTCAGCTTTTCATTTTTAATTAATAAAAAAAATAATGTCCTACAACATAATTCAATTTTGACATAATGGGAATTGTGTGTAGGCCAGTGACAAAAAATCTCTATTAAATCCTTTTCATACTGAACAAAAATATAAACGCAACATGCATCAATTTTACTGAGTTACAGTTCATATAAGGAAATCAGTCAATTGAATAAATTCATTAAGCCCTAGGGGCGCAGCCACGGGTGGGCCTGGGAGGACATAGGCCCACCCACTGGGGAGCCAGACCCAGCCAATCAGAATGAGTTTTTCCCCACAATCTACACACTTTATTACAGACAGAAATACTCCTCAGTTTCATCAGCTGTCCGGGTGGCTGGTCTCAGACGATCCCTCAGGTTAAGAAGCTGGATGTGGAGGTCCTTGGCTGGTGTGGTTACACGTGGCTTGCAGTTGTGAGGACGGTTGGACGTACTGCCAAATCACTTATGGTAGAGAAATTTACATTTACATTTTAGTCATTTAGCAGACGCTCTTATCCAGAGCGACTTACAGTTAGTGAGTGCATACATTTTTTTTTTTCATACTGGCCCCCTGTGGGAATCGAACCCACAACCCTGGCGTTGCAAACACCATGCTCTACCAACTGAGCTACATCCCTGCCGGCCATTCCCTCCCCTACCCTGGACGAAGCTGGGCCAATTGTGCGCCGCCCCATGGGTCTCCCGGTCGCGGCCGGCTACGACAGAGCCTGGATTCGAACCAGGATCTCTAGTGGCACAGCTAGCACTGCGATGCAGAACATTAAATTCTCTGGCAACAGCTCTGGTGGACATTCCTGCAGTCAGCATGCTAATTGCACGCTCCCTCAAAACTTGAGACATCTGTGGCATTGTGTTGTGTGACAAAACTGCACATTTTAGAGTGGCCTTTTATTGTCCCCAGAACAAGGTGCACCTGTGTAATGATCATGCTGTTTAATCAGCTTCTTGATATGTCACACCTGTTAGGTGGATGGGTTATCTTGGCAAAGGAGAAATGCTCACTAACAGGGATTTAAACAAATTTGTGCATAAAATCTGAGAGAAATAAGCTTTTTGTGCACATGGAACATTTCTGGGATCTTTTATTTCAGCTCATGAAACATGGGACCAACACTACATGTTGCGTTTATATTTTTGTATATATATATAATATACACACACACACACACACACACACACACACAGAGCATTCGGAAAGACACCTTGACTTGTTCCACATTTTGCTACGTTACAGCCTTATTCTAAAATTGATTAAATGTATTTTTTCTCCTCATCAATCTACACACAATACCACATAATGACAAAGTAAAAACCTTTTTTTTGACATTTAAAAAAATAACGGAAACGGAAATATCACATTTACATAAGTTTCAGACTCTTTACTCAGTACTTTGTTGAAGCACATTTGGCAGCGTTTACAACCTCAAGTCTTTTTGGGTATGACGCTTGGCACACTTGTATTTGGGGAGTTTCTCCCATTCTTCTCTGCAGATCCTCTCAAGCTCTGTCAGGTTGGATGGGGAGCGTCGCTGCACAGCTATTTTCAGATCTCTCCAGAGATGTTCGATCGGGTTCAAGTCCGGGCTCTGGCTGGGCCACTCAAGGACATTCAGAGACTTGTCCCGAAGCTACTTCTGCGTTGTCTTGGCTGTGTGCTTAGGGTTGTTCCAAACTTCTTCCATTTAAGAATGATGGAGGCCACTGTGTTCTTGGGGACCTTCAATGCTGCAGAATTTTTTTGGTACCCTTCCCCAGATCTGTGCCTCAACAAAATCCTGTCTCGGAGCTCTACGGACAATTCCTTCGACCTCATGGCATGGTTTTTGCTCTGACATGCACTGTCAACTGTGGGACCTTATATAGACAGGTGTGTGCCTTTCCAAATCATGTCCAATCAATTGAATATACCACAAGTGGACTCCAATCAAGTTGTATAAACATCTCAAGGATGATGAATAGAAACAGGATGCACCTGAGCTCAATTTCGAGTCTCATAGCAAATGGTCTGAATACTTATTTAAATAAGGTATTTCTGTTTTTTCTAAAAACCTGTTTTCGCCTTTTTATTATGTGGTATTGTGTGTAGATTGATGAGGATTTTTATTTTTTTAATCCATTTTAGAATAAGGCTGTAACGTAACAAAATGTGGAAAAAGCTTGTCGAACATCTCATTCCAAATTCATGGGCATTAATATGGAGTTGGTCCCCCCTTTGCAGCTATAACAGCCTCCACTCTTCTGGGAAGGCTTTTCACTAGATGTTAGAACATTGCTTCAGGGACTTGCTTCCATTCAGCCACAAGAGCATTAGTGAGGTCGGGCACTGATGTTGGGCGATTAGGCCTGGCTCACAGTCAGTGTTCCAATTCATCCCAAAGTTGTTAGAGGGGCTTGAGGTCAGGGATCTGTGCAGGCCAGCCATGTTCTTCCACACCGATCTCGACAAACCATTTCTGTATGGACCTCGCTTTGTGCACGGGGGTATTGTCATGCTGAAACAGGAAAGGGCCTTC